GGCCGCCGCCGGCCTCACGGCCTCCTCGGCCTCCGCCGCCGCCGCACCGGCGCACCTGCCTGGATTTATTAGGGCCATTCTGCTTTGATTTACTCTTCCGACTGATGCTGTTTGTAATGTGCGCCGGCGAGATTGATTTCATTGTGCGCCCTTCTCCCCCGCCCCCCCTTCCCCCCTCCCCGGGGGCGGCTCAAGAAATATGATGAGGTCAATTGTTTGTCTTACCTCTCTCCTGCGCATTTGTCCGGGCGGACGGGCAAGCAGTGCACGCCTGCCTACCTCCCGGGCGCTCGCCGTGGTGGCGCCCCTTGGCGGGCTTCCACACGTTTGCTCTTATTTCCACCACTTTGCTCCCGCCACCGCTCGACTCGTTCGCCTTTCTTGTTAGCCAACGCCCTTTCCGGACACCCTGCCCCTCCTCCTGCCCCAACGCGCCTTATTGCCCCTCGTCCTGCCCCTCCTCCTGCCCCAACGCGCCTTATTTATCTTTATTTTGTAGGGAGAAGCCTTTTTGTTTATCGACTGATCGGAGCGACGATTGGCGCGAAATGCCAGGCTAATTACATGCATTACCTCCCCGAAGGCGCGGCGAAGCGCTCTGCTCGGCCTGCAGCAGCAGCAAGGCTTTGCGTGTCGTTTGCCAAGGTTCTGTCCAGAGATGGACAACGAGAGAGAGAATGAAGGAGAGAGAGAGGGGTAGGGGTGGGGGGGACTCCAAGAGAGCGTTAGGGCTCAACGAGTGCCGCGTTGGTCCGAAGAGGAAGTCCATGGTCTCTTGGTCGCTGGGCCGGTCGGTCATGCCGCGTTATACCGAACGCCCGAACGGGCGTTCGGATCGGAGCCGATCGCCTCCAGAGAGCCGAGGTAATGACCGAGTTGGTCCATTCCCCTTCCCTTCCCCCCTCCGGCAGGGCCCTCCCTAGGCAGGATGGACCTAAAGGTGTGGCGGGGCCGTGGCGGGGCTCGGGGAATAGACAATCGTTTGCCGTTGATGTTGTTCCGGACACGGCCCTCCCTCTCTCCTCCTCCCGTGCGAGTTCTCCTCTCCTAAAGCCCCCCGGAGCACACGGCATGGGCCCGGGCCGCGCGGCGGCAGCGGCGTCACTGCGGCAACACTGTAAGGCACAACGGTCGTAGTAGTGCCTCCAGCAGCCTGCGGCAGCAGGAGGAGGAGGAGGAGAAGGGCAGCAGGGGCATGGACCGGCCCGGGCGGACGGCGGGCCAGACATTGTGGCAAGCGCACCGGCATACGTATCCGAGGTGCATATCCGATGCGATGCACTCTGGGCTCCTGCTCCAGGTCAAAGAGTCCTGTCGCAGAGACACACGCACACAGGGCGTTATTCGCCGCAGTTTCAGCTCAGCGTGGCCCCACAGACGACATACTATTTCGTTTATGCTGTGTACCGCATGCAGTGGTGCGGGCGGGCTTGCC